AAATGAGCAGAAAGGGAAAGGGTTAATAACTTAATACCAGAGGGTTGATAACGTTCAACAGATAAAATCTCACTCAGTCCAAATAACAACCATGGGGATTTTACTGCATGCTTTTAAAAATTAGAAAAGCTGAGTTTTGCCCTGATTTCCTAGGTGGGTGGGGTCAGTATCTCTGTGGCGCACAGACTACTCTCTCTTTAGCCCACCTACCCATGCATCAACCCTTCTATGACATCCATATCAACCATTCTTTAGAGAGTAACCAGCAGATGGAGTTTCCATTTGTGGGTCTACGGTTAGCAACAGGATATTTGTTCTGAGAGTTAGTTTCAAGAAAATGGATGTTCACAGATTTAAAAAGAACTATCTGGTAGCTGCTCTTCTCGGTCTTGGCACTAGCTAGCTAGATGTGGGAGGAGGGAGGGATTGTGAGTATGTTTGTTTGTTGCGCGTAGGGTCTGGGGGTTCCCAAGATTCTCGCACACTTTGACCTTGAAGAGCTGAGAGATTTTCAGTTGCTTTTCTTGCTGATACCATGATTTCCCGTATCTACCATGGAACAGATCTTTATAGAAAACTTGTACTATGGGCATCAGGGCATAATGATTATGAACTTGAAGAAAAACATATTCTTCGGGTAGACGAGGAACAGATATTATATACATATTTTATGATAAGATTTAAGAGTCACAGAGAGTTGTATTCCAGGTTTCTCCACCTGAGGGGACTGAATCCCAGAGAGAACAAGTGACTTAGTAATCAGAGTGAACCCAGATTTCCTGTCACCTCACCCAGTATAGTTCTTCTACAACATAAAATTCCGTTTATGGATGAGCAAGCCATTTGTGTACATATTTTTAAAATAATATTAAAGTCAAATCAAATAATAGTGTAGTCTAATCAGAAGGGATTAAAGATGGCAGCGTGAGAGATGAGACAGTAACCACCTCCCAAAACTACATATAATATGAAAATATAATTAATACAACTAGTTCTGAAAGAGCAAGAGGAAAGAAGGCTACGCCAGACTGCATATGCTTGGAGAAAAGAACAGACCTCATGGAACAGGGTATAATTCACACACCCAAAAGTTCACCTTTTAAAGTGTACATGTTGGTGGTTTCCAGCATATTCACAAAGTTGTATAACCATCATCACCATCTATTTCTAGAACATTTTCATTACTTCAAAAATAAATGGTAAAATTAGAGACCTAAATAAACGAAGTAGGTTCATGAACAAGAAGACAGCATTGTTAGAAATGTCAATAAAACCAGAGTGACCTACAGATTCAAAGCAATTTCTATCAAAATTTCAACAGCCTTTTTCACAGAAATGAGAAAGCCAGTCCTCTAATTCATGTGGAATTGCAAAAATAGCCAAACAAATCTTGAAAAAGAATAATAAAGTTGGAGGACTCACACTTCTCAACTTTGAAACTTACTACAATACTACAGTAATTAAAGCATGTGATACTGACAAATGGACAAACACACAGACAAATGGAATCGAATAAAAAGCCCAGAAATAAACCCTTACATATACGGCCAACTGATGTTTTGAGAAGGGTGCCAAGACCATTCAGTGATCAAAGAGCAGTCTTTTCAACAAACAGTGCTTGGAAAACTGGAAATTTTTATGCCAGTCTGACCCTTACCTTATACCAAACATAAAAATTAACTCAAAAAAAACCCAAAGATCTACACTTAAAGAGCTAAGACTATAAAATTCTTAGCATAAAATAGGGAAAATCTTCACGACAGTGGATTTGGCAACCATTTAATGGATCTGACACTAAAAGCACATGCAAAAAAAGAAAAAATAGATCAATTAGATTTTATCAAAATAAAGAACTTTTGCACATCAAAGAGACCATCTAGAAAGGTGAAAATACAGCCTACTGTATGGAAGAAAATTCATGCAAATCATTTAATTCATAGCAGATGAATACCCAGAATACATTAAAAAATTCCCAAAACTCACTTCCAAAAGACAATCCAATTAAAAAATGGGCAAAGGACTTAAACAGACATTTGTTCAAAGAAGATATACAAATGGCCAACAAGCACATGAAAAGATGCTGAACATTACTCATCATTAGAGAACTGCAAAACAACATTCCTACAAGGATGTGGAGAAATTGGAACCCTTGTGCACTGTCAGTGGGGATGTAAAATGGTACAGCTGCTGTGGACATCAGAATGGCAATTTCCCCAAAATTAAAAATAGAATTACCATATGATTCAGCAAGTCCACTTTTAGGTGTATACCCAAAATAATTAAAAGCAGGGTCTTGAAGAAAGATCTATACTCCCAAGTACAGAGGGACCATAATTCTCTTTAAACCTATTTGGCTAAAGAAATGAGACATGGATCACATTTAATAAGGTTTAGATATGCTCACTTTCTCTTCCTGGAATTATAATTTTATTACGATCAGATTTATTAACTTTTATCTGATTTTACTTGCATCTTAAAACATCCACAAATAATATAATTTACCTGCTACTTGGCATAAAAATGTGCTTCTTGATTTTAACAGAACCTAGTCCAAATGTTGATCAAATCAAGCTGTTCAAAACTAACTGGTGGTCACTTCTGAACACAATATTCAGTGATAGCTGCCTGGCCAGTGTCGATTTTTCTTTATTTTAAAAGTTATGTCATTTAAAGAAGTATTCACTGCAAATAAAAACCCTCCCACGGCTCCCCCAAACACACACACACCCCTTTTCAAGTAAATCAAGCACCCAAATCGCCGAAACAAGAGGCTGTGCGCGTGGGTCCGTTGCCACAGAGTAATACGGTAACAGCCGGAGATTACGGTACTAGCTTGTGCTACTGCCTGTGTGACGTCAGCGAGAGCTGCAAAGTTGCTTGCGGTTCTTTGCAGATGTCGGGGAGCTAAATACTAAGAAGGTAAACGTGGAGTTACGGTTGGCTGAATTTTTTGTTTCTTTTCCTATTTTTTCACTCTTTATTTTAAAATCTCCAGGTAAAGCGATAGGAGTCAGGAGCGTAAAGACAACTGTGGTGAAGGGGTGAGTCAGCGGGTGCGAAAGGACTTGGAATCGTTTCCTCGGAGAGACGGTCCCCTCTTATCCGGAGTCGAGGCTGCAGGGCTGCTCCTGGGACGCAACCCAGGCCGGCTCCCCGGCGCCCGGACGGGTGGCGGTGACGCAGCGCTCCAGGTGAGTGCGCGGCGCGCTGGGCGCGGGAGAATCTCCCTCGGCCTCCGGGCCAGACGGAACCCCCATTTTCTCTCAAGCGCCTCCAGCTTTTTCACCCGCTCTGACACCTGCATCCCCACTCCACCCCATTTCCCTTATATATTTTGGGAAGTTACTGTCCACTTAAAAAGTGTGTTTTTAACCCTGTACCTAATGCCAGAGGCGGTTCTCCTCTGGAAACTACGGGGTTCTGCAGTTGCTTTTAGTACCACCTGTGAGCTCGTCAACTTGTCATTTTCACAATAGCCTGCGCCGGCGGTTGAGGCTCAGGCCCCAGCTCCAGAAGGCACCCCACTCCTAGCACTCCTGCCCGAGTCCCTGTGGTCTGCAGCTGTGGAAACCTAGGTTTCTTACGCAGACCGTAGCCCCCAGCCCAGAAAATTCGAGGCAGTCCTCTGTCCGCTGGCGCGCGGGCATGATCTCTACGCCTACAAAATCCGCAGTGACTGCCACTGGCAAAGCCCCTTCTGCAGAGCGAGCCCCCCCCCCCCCCCCCTTGCACCCCAGCAGCCCGCCCGGGTGTGGCTGGAAGCTGGAGTCCCCCGGGACCGCTGACCCTGCGTCTCGGAAAGGAGTCCTGGACCGACCCAGGTCGCGCTCAGCCCTCGGGCCTCGCTGGGCTTCGCTCGGGGCCAGGCTCCCAGGCGGCGTGACTGGTCAACAGACTGGCGAGCACCGCACCCCGGTGTGAATTTCTCCCGCGTGAGCGTGCGCGTGGCACTGGCCCTGAGGTCCCTGGGTCGCAGCGCTTCCCTTTCCCAGGCCGCCCCCTCCAGGTGACTGCGAGGCAACCTGTTCGAACGGAAACCGGGTAGATCCGCTGGTTTCTACCCGCTCGGCTCTGCGCGCCACACACACCGGCTTCGGTTGCGCCTGGCGGGCAGACTTCGGGATTTTAATTTCGCCGCCCGGCCGCCGGGCGCTGCAGCTTGGGGTTTGTTTGCTTCGGATTTTGACCCCGGCCAGAGGCCGCGCGGCGGGTGCCGGGGCAGGTTCCCAGCGGCGGGGCCACGGCGCACGGTCCCCTCCCGCGCCGCCGTGCGCCCGGACCAGCCGCTCCAGGACCCAGCGCCGGCGGGGCTCCCAGCCGGTCCGACCGCCCGTCGAGCAGGGCACGGCCTCCTCCGCAGGACGCCTGACTGACACCGCCCTTCTCTTTGCGCTCTTTCAGGACCGCGCGGGCACCCAGGGCTCCGCAGCCGCCCGGCTTGGCAAACATTTCACGTCCGCGGGCCCCGGCCTGCGAGCCTGGAGGCTGGATCCAGCACGAGTCCAGCGCGGCCAGCCACACTGCGCGCGGGGAGAAGAGCCCGGATGCCAACGGCACCCGGCTTTGAGGGTCGACGGCAAACCGGTACTTGGCTGTGGTTTGGTGGGGAGCCTGGCGCTGCATTTTTGAATTCCAAATCACATGCAGAATGCCGAGTCTCCTAACCAGGACGAATCCGACAGTGCAGAGGAGCGGACTCCCATAATTCTTGCAATTGCAATTTCAGCCACAGTAGGGAAGGAGTTGGGGTCTGGGGACAGTGCAGAGGGGGGGAGAAGGCCAGAGCGGTCAGCCCCGCACGCCCCTGGCCATGTCGCCTTTACTGCCCTGCCCCTTTGCGTGGCCTTCTGACAGTGTCCAGGGCTGGCCGGGGTTGCTTCCCACCCTCGCGCACTCTCTCACCCCCAGCCAGCCCCAGTGGGCAAGGCCCCGCAGAGCCGAGACCTTTTGACTTCCTGCTCCCTCGCTCTCGCCCCCACCCCCGCGCGGGGGTGGCCCTCGGGAGCCGGACGTCGCCCGGCCCCTGCTGGGACCATGGTGTTTCTCGCTGGAAATGCCTCCGACAGTTCCAACTGCACCCACCCGCCGGCCCCGGTGAACATTTCCAAGGCCATTCTGCTCGGGGTGATCTTGGGGGGCCTCATCATTTTCGGGGTGCTAGGGAACATCCTAGTGATCCTCTCCGTGGCCTGCCACCGGCATCTGCACTCGGTCACTCACTACTACATCGTCAACCTGGCGGTGGCCGACCTCCTACTCACCTCCACGGTGCTGCCCTTCTCCGCCATCTTCGAGATCCTGGGCTACTGGGCCTTTGGCAGGGTCTTCTGCAACATCTGGGCGGCGGTGGACGTCCTGTGCTCCACCGCGTCCATCCTGGGCCTCTGCATCATCTCCATCGACCGCTACATCGGCGTGAGCTACCCGCTGCGCTACCCCACCATCGTCACCCAGAAGAGGGGCGTCATGGCTCTGCTCTGCGCCTGGGCGCTCTCCCTGGTCATCTCCATCGGGCCTCTGTTCGGCTGGAGGCAGCCGGCCCCCGAGGACGAGACGGTCTGCCAGATCACGGAGGAGCCGGGCTACGTGCTCTTCTCCGCGCTGGGCTCCTTCTACGTGCCGCTGGCCATCATCCTGGTCATGTACTGCCGGGTCTACGTGGTGGCCAAGAGGGAGAGCCGCGGCCTCAAGTCCGGCCTCAAGACCGACAAGTCGGACTCGGAACAGGTGACGCTCCGCATCCATCGGAAAAACGCCCCGGTGAGAGGCAGCGGCATGTCCAGCACCAAGAACAAGACGCACTTCTCGGTGAGGCTTCTCAAGTTCTCCCGGGAGAAGAAAGCGGCCAAAACGCTGGGCATCGTGGTCGGCTGCTTCGTCCTCTGCTGGCTGCCTTTTTTCTTAGTGATGCCCATAGGTAAGTCTTTACAACACCTCATCTTAGTATTTCGGGGTCTTCGACCTCTGCCGCTTCTACTCGCCCAGACCCACAGTGGGGGTGGAAGCATCTGCATTTGAAACAGCAAAGCTAGGAGGGCAGCTAGGAGCGGCTTCCTTGTAAAAAAGCCAATTTGCTTTCCCTTTCTACTGCAGTCTCATTTAAATTGTGCCCTAGGGCACTTTTTCAATGCCTGTGAGGTGCTTCCAGCTGATGCAGATTGATCGGTGTCTTTAATAAGAACTTCAACTTTTCTTAATTCCGTTAAACATGCGTTTAAAGTAAATACATCCGTCCTTTTTCCGGACTCAGTCCCCACCAGGCACTTAGGCAGGGACTGTGGAATGAGGCTCTCACCTCTACTGCTTTGGGCTGCAAATTCTCTCGGCCTAAAAATAAGCACCGTGCTTATTCTGAACAAATATGTAATTTTATTATTAGACTAGATTATTCCCAAGGGTTAGTTATAAGGGTCTGCTTATGTTCTATAGCTGTGTTAATTTTATTTTCTGGATTCAGTAGGGAAAAACATATGGTGAGCCACTGATGAGGAAAAAATAAGTAATTTTATGTCCAAACCAGTTTAAAGAGTTCAACATAATGTTTCCAATAAGTAAATGTGTTTCCCTTTATTAAGTGTAAGGATTAAAGCAAACACTACTCATATGCAAAATCATTTGGGAAGTTGCAGGTGACACTGTTTGAAAACAATACAGTAATGTTACAAATGTAAATTTTACAAATGCTAAATGAGCTGTTGTCAACACTAAGTAGCTCGTTATAAGCATTATAAGTATCAGCAAGCTGGTCCACTGGAATAGTCATCTATCTCTGAAAGGCCTTCATGAGATCCCAAAATGGTTGTTTGCTATTTTTAGTTTGTGAGCTCAAATATAGACCCACACATTGGTTATCCACTAACTCCAGCAAACAAAAAATTATGATAAAGACTAATAGAAGTCTGTTTCCAGCACTTTAAAGCCTTATTTAAATGCATTGGACTTAAAGTATTTTAATTTGCAGCTCTGTATAATGATAGTAGCTGTTATTTTTTGAGGGCCAACTATGTTTCAGACATTTGGCAAGACTTTTTATTTCATTAGCCCTCTGAGCAGCACAGGGAGGTAAGCATTATTATCCTGAAATCACAAGTGGGGGAAGGGATCCTTCAGCTTCTAGAGCTTTGCCGATTCTATAGCCTCCAGCTACATGTGGCTATTTACTGTGAATTCAAATTAAAGAAAATTAATATCCAGCTCCTTACTTCCACTAGCCACGTTTTAAGGGCTCGATTATCACTTGTGGCAGGGCTACTGTTTTGGACAACAGACATAGATCATGGCAGAGATTTCTTTCTGACTAGAGAGGCCCTTCTAAGTCCATTATGCCATCTTCCCCTGTGCCCGCCCATTGTTATTGCTTATTCTGCTCCTGAAAGTGTATCACAGCTTTGAATTTGTTTAAATAACACGCTTTACCTGAGCCACTGTCTGCTTACCTCCCAGTCTTTCTACATCCCATCTCTTACTTCCTGCTGAAGTTTGCACATTTATTCAGGCATGCATTCATTTGTCAAGTATCACTGAGCACTTTTCCTAGACACTTAGGGCAAACAAGGCAGAAAAGTCCTTGCCAGTAATACGTTTTCATTCTTTGGGGGGAAATAGACAGAAACAAATAAATACTTCTTAAGAAGTTCAGGGATTAATAAGCACTATAAAAAATAAACAAGATAGGAGATAGTGGTAAGATTATGGGGTGAGCGGTCAGGAAGTCCTCTCCAAAGAGGTGATATTTGAGCAGAGACCTGGATGAAGTAAGGAGTAAGTCTTGCAAAGTCTGGGAGGAAGAGCTTTCTGGGCACAGGAAACAGTGAGTATAGAGTTGGAAAAGAACCTGACCTGTTCAACGCATAGCAGAGGCCAGTGTGGCTGAGCTTCAGAAGACAAGCTCAAAAAGACGTTGGGGAGGTAGACAAGGTCAAAGTAATGTGGGTCTTTTAGACTGGAGCAGAGTTTGCGTATTATTCCAACCGTTACAGGAAGCCATCCAGCTGGAGGGGTTTCAGCTGGTAAGTGGCTGGTCCTATATTTTCAAAGGATCATTCTTGTTACTGGGTGGAGGCTGGGCTATTTGGAGGCCAGAATAGAAGCTGGGGGACCAGTTGGGAGGCTATTAGAGAAGTCAAGGACAGAACGGTCTGACACCTTGCACTCGAGTGAGCCAGGTGGAGGTGGTAAGAAGTGACCACATTCAGCACGTATTTCAAAGGTAGAGCTGACAAGTTTGGACATAGGGTGTAAGGAAAAGAGCAGAACTAAAGATAAGTTCTGGGTTTGGGGCCTAAACAACTGGATAAGTTGTAGTGCATTTTACTGCGATTGGGAAAACTAGAGGATTATAGGGCTGGGAGTGTAAAGTAAGTGTGTTTATTTTGTATAGCCCATGTTGAGAGGTGTGTAGTAGACACCTACATAGAGATGCCAAGTAGGCAGTTAGACGTATTGATATGGAGCCAAAATGGGAAGCCGGGCTATCGTATAAACTTGGGACACATCAGCATACCTAAAGCCACAGAAATGGAAGGATCTACAAAAGAGAAAGGATGGAGAGAAAAGACAGATCAGGACCGAGCCTTGGGACATTCTGATGTTTTAGAGGCAGGAGAAAGAGGAGAACCAACCAGAAGGCGTGGCCAGAGAGGCAGGAGGAAAACCAGGAGAGCGTGGTATCCTCGAAGCCAAATGGGAATGTTTGGAAAAGGCAGGGCAACAGCCATCGGCTATAGAACATGCAGCTGCTCCGCCGAGTCAGAGGGGGACTGGGAATCAGCACTGGACTTGGACACATGGACGTCCTTGGTGATGTGAGGAAGTCCTTTGAAGATAATAGTTTCAGGATGGAGAAAAAAGCCTGGTCATGTGTATTATAGAGACAATGAACCCCAAGAAGTAGCAACGGTGAAATAGACAGCTCTTTGCAAAGGTGTTGCTAGACAATGGAATAGGGAATGGAGTGTGGCTGGAAGGATCTAGAGAAGTAGAAGATAGGATATCCTGTTTGTATTCTGATGGGAATGATGGATTGGAGGGATGAGGACAGTATAGACAAGGGATGACATGGGATTTGATCCCCAAGTGGAGGATTGGGAAGCGGCAGGACAATGATCTCTAAGCTATATTTATGGCCTCAGTGAAATAAGAAGCAAGATCACAAGCGAAGAGTGAGGAAGGAATAGGAAATGCTGGTGGTTGGAGAGCAGAAGATGTGACACATTAATCTTCTGGGTGGGAGAGTAAATAGATTATGGAAATAGAGTTGAGTTACCACTAAGTCCTGAGGACATGTTTGAGACTCAGGGCCATAAATTTAACGTAGGACCAGTGGAGAAGGTTGCACGTGTGCTCTCCGCAGCTCAGAGGTGGAGGGCAACAGGGAGTGTTTTTGATGACTGACCATCTAGGGACCACAGGAAAGAGGGGTATTTGTGAGGGACGTAAACTAGTCATATAGGGTCAGAGGTGGGAAAATCTTGGGTGAATGGCTGGGACTTCAGGTGGTGACTGAGCCATGCAGGGAAGGAGCACCAGGGCTGGCTACTGAGCTCTGCTGGGGGAAGGGAACTCGGGTCTAATCACAGCCTCTTTCTTGGACCTGCTCCCTTGGGGAGCCAGTCATGTTGAGTGAAGACACTATGGAGACGGGGAGTGTGGTAGGATGGAGCACCCACAGTCACTGGGCTCCCTTTAAATCCCACGAATGAGGTGCGACAGGAAGAACAAGGAAAATTCATCGTTCACAGCATCTAACCAGGCGGCTCAGGTGGGTAAGGTAAACCAACCATGTCTGTGGTCCACAGTTTCTTCCTAATGCCAGACAAGTCAGACTGTTTCTTCCAGGATTTATTAACTGTGTAGTAAGTACCAGGCACTGAATTAGAAAGAAAAAAAAAAAAGATAAATAAACACATTCCATGCCTTCAAGGGCCTCACAATCTAGTTAAGGAGACAAATTAGGAAAAATTATCACAAGTCTCCGAGACTGGTCCTCAAGGCAGTAATACAAGTGCTGAGAAATCTAACAGGTAACTCTGCCTGGAGGTCACTGTGGAAGCTTCTAGAAGTATCACTGTTGACTGAGCAGAAATATGAAGACTGTACTACTGCTGGGCTGTCAGTGAGAAGTTATTTGATTGTAGAAACTATCTTAAGTACATTTTCATGCAAAATGTGAACAGAAAAATAAATATGCCATTATATTATCATGCACAAGGGACATGAGCTCTTAAATATGACAAATGCTCTCTTGGGAAAAAGAGGTTATCAGTCTGCACGAGGCTGTCAGAGAACAGTGGGACTGGAAACCAAACCAGGGCGGCCAGTGGTACACCACGCTGAGAAGTGAAGCACCCCAGTGTGTAGGAACGGGCCCAGGAAGCACCCCATGTGTAGGAACTGGCCCAGGAAGCACCCCAGTGTGTAGGAGCAGGCCCAGGATAACCAGACTAGGGAGTATTCTCCCCTACACTGTGCGAGGACGTTGTCTCCTCACTGCCTCCATGCTGCCCAACCCCCCATCTCCTCCCCACCAAAGCTGGCCTGGCTCGCTTCTGGCCGGAACAGTGTGACTGCACATAGGAATCTGGCTTGCCTGCTCTCAAATCGAGGTCTTTATAGTCTTCTTTTCTTTTTGCATCCTACCTGTTTAGTTGAAATTCCGAATCCCTTTGGGGAAGGGAACTCCCTTTGGAGGCTGTTAGCAGAGATGTTGATATCCTGGAGTGAATGTTTTTAAAAACCAAGGTTTGATCATGGAGATGAATGGGGAAAATACGACAGTGTTGACCTTCAACACATGAGAGAAGGAAGGGTGGAAGTCCAGCCCTAAACTGTCCATCGTCTTTGCCTAGAGTCCCAGAGTCAGTATGTTGGGTGGAGGAAGGGTTGGCTGGAGATTGAAACCTAGGCTTTCTTTCCATA